AAAAAAAAAAAAAAAAAAAAGATAGACCCTGAAGCCTGGGAAAACCTTGTTTGAACATTTTTATGTCTTTGGATGAAATCCCAATCAAGGTTTCGATTTCCCAGAGCACACATTGTGGTGATAGAACATTACCAACCCCGTAGGAGTTGAAAGGATAAAGGGGTTAATACACATAAAGCTCATTAGAATAGTATCTGATGTTGGCTTTCGTTATTGGTTAATTTTTTACTTCATCAATGTCTCCATGAACTCCGTTTTGCCGTTTAGGAATCATGCTTAAAAATGTGAAATAGGTAAAACTGTAGATCTGAGATTTGAACTCAAAACTCACTATCTCATCTCACCAGACCAAAAATGATTAGATCAAGGTGCAGCTTCCCCTCTTGATGCCTTCAGCAGACACAGGTATAGTCAGGGGTCTTTTGTAACTTACACAGATTCAACTAACCTCCAGTTGAAAATATTTGGCAGTAAAAATTACATCTGTACTGAACAGATACAACCTTTTTTCCTTGCCATTATTCCCTCAATATCATAACAACTATTTATGTAATATTGACATTGTATTAGGTATTATAAGCCATCTAGAGATGATTTAAAGCACACGGGAGGAGGTGGGTAAATTCTATTCGAATACTGTGAAACTTTAAATAAAGGACTTACTTGAGTATCCTTAGATTTAGGATTTGGGGTGGGGCTGTCCTCAAACCAAGCAGTCCTCCACAGATACAGAGGGATCATTGTGCTCTTTTCCACTGAATCCAGAGAATCATTCCTAACATGCACCAAGGCTACATTACAGCATTCACAGGTGGGAGGTATTGTTGCATTCCTCTTCCTTCATTTAAAAAATATATATTAAGCCAGACATAGTGTTGCACACCTGTAATCACAGAACCTCTGGAAGGCAGGAAGATTGCAAATTTAAGGCTAGCCTGGGCAATTTAGTGACTTAGCAAGACCCTGTCTCAAAATTTAAAAGAGGGCTGGGAATGATCCTGGTGTAGTGGTACATCCTATAATCATAGCACTTAGGAGGCTGAGGCCAGGAGGATAGCCTCGAGTTTAAGGCCAACTTGGCCTACATGGTGAGTTCAAGCCTAGCTTGAATTACAAGTGAGACTTTGTCTCAAAACAGACAGGACTAGGGATTTAGCTCAGTGTTGCTGCCACCTACCTTGAAAGCACAAGGTCCTGAGTTTGATCCCTGGTACAAAAAAAACGAAAAAAACAAACAACAGACAAATAAAAAAAGGGCCATGAATGTTGTTCATTATGGACGCTCTGGTTTGAATCCCCAACACCACCACCACCTCCCAAAAAATGCACTTTACAACTGATAAAAAGAATTTAATCTGGATTTATTATTATTATTATGATGATGTCTTTTCCTCCCAATTTTAAAAGAAATTAAAACATGTTGCATGGACCCTATTTATGATGCCTACGATGACTCCAAATAAGTCAGGTCTACCCTGAACCTTTTGCTTGCACCCTGAGACCCCTCCTTTACTGACTTGATTGTAAAGATATAAAAATAATAGACTTAGAGCTGTTATAATGTCTACTTTCTATAAATACCTGAAGACATTGTAAATATGATTGGGGTAGGCTATCTCTAACACTATATTTATTGCTGTGGAAATATGAATTCACCAGAGCTTCCTGAAGGGCAATTTGACTCAACAAATTAAAGTCCTACGAACTTTTGTTCAACCTAGAAATTCTACTGCCCCAAAGTAATCATCAGAAAAGGGACCAATTGTTAGGTCAAGGCTGTTTATCAGAACACTGTCATGATGAAAAACTGGAGGCACAACTTAAGCCTACCACAGCAGGGGATGAGTTAAATAAATGATGATACTTTCATGGATGAAAAACTATGCAATTGTTTAAAAATTTGTAGTATAGTGCCAAGTGACACAGAGAGTGTTCATAGTTATGGTACTAGATAACAGCAACAGGAAAAAAGCTATCAAACAGAAATATAGTAATCAATTGGGAGTTGTCATCCTCTACACTAAAAATCACAGAAAACCAAAGTTAAACTGGTTTAAATAATAAAAGAAATCTGTTGGCTCAATTATTTGCTTATTTTTGCAGTACTGGGAAATGAACCCAGGGTCTTCACATTGAGCTACATCCGCACCCTCTGTTTTTATTTTTTATTTTGAAACAGGGTTTCACTAAGTCACTCTGTTGTCCAGGCTGAGCTCAAACTTGCAATCCTCCTACCTCAGCCTCCCAGAAAGCTGGGGTTAATGTCATGTGCCACCATGCCCACCTGGCTCAAATAATTTTTTTGTTTTGTTTTGTTGAGTCAGAGTCTCACTATATAGTTCAGGCTGGCCTCAAACTCACAGCCATCTTCCTGCCTCAGTCTCCTGAGTGCTGGGACTACAAGTGTGTGCCACTATGCCTGGCTCAAATAATTTTTTAAAAGTCCAGTAGTGGGAGGGCTTTAAGTAAGTGTTGGTCCAGCTGATGAAGTCACCAAGACCTGATCTCTCTCCGTTCTACTTTTCATACTGTCAGCTGATCCCTAGGTCAATGATCTGCATGTTGTCAAGACTGGTTGACAACAGTAACCAGAATCAGTCTTGTTCATTCATATCTAATGAAGGTGGGGTCAACTTTCGTCTTTTTGGAAACCTCCTCAGGAAAGAAAACAAGCTTTCTTTTCTAAATCCTCAGTAAGTCTCCTTATATTTAACTAGTCCCCTAGGGCTGGGGATTTAGCTCAGTGGTTCCAGTGCCTGCCTCGAAAATGCAAGGTCCCGAGTTCGATCCCCGGTACCAAAACAAAAACAAAAAACGAGTCCCCCTCCATGATCCAGTGACGTGACACAGAAATTGTTCGTTGGCTTAATCAATTGAGTGAGTCCTACTCCTGAAGCTTCGGGCAGGGTCAGTTATATTCTGGTTCCTGTTAAGGAGATGGATTGTAATGAATGTTGTGACAGCAGTACAGTGGCCAAACAATTTTGTAAAATATGTATATATAAATATATATAACTAGACTAAAACATATCTAGAAACAATTGGAAAAGTAAAAATGATCATCTCTTGGTAAGTAACATTATTAGTGAATGTCTTTCTCCTTTATACTTTTTCTGTATTATAACTATGCATTAACTAAACACAAATAATAAGCTTTATTTGCAAAAACAATGGAACATATCCCAGTGGCTCGCTCTATCCCAATCTCTATTCCAGCAGGGACCCCAGAGTGACTGAGGCCAGGGCCTGTGGTTTTTCCTGCTGAGAGAGCCAAACTCCAGTGCCCCATGAGCCCTTGTTGTTCACTGGACAGATGCCACCAAATCACTCTCTTTGCATTAACCTGGACACTGTGGCCTGTGGAAGCCATACTGTGGGCTGCTGAGGGTTGACCAGACAGCCAAGAGAATCAGCAGTGGAGACAGTGGCCGCAGTATTACCAGAAATAGTCTGGCATCAGCAGCATGTGAGACCCAAACTCTCTCAGGACAAATCTCTGCTACTAATTCATACCCTATGTGGCTATAATGTAGGCCAACAGCCTTTCTTGGATAGGAAGGTCAGGATCAGCCCTTGGTTTAAGAGCAGGTTTAGAACTGATTCTGGACTGGAGTCAGGGCTCAGTCAATAACTGGTCTTAGTCTTCAGTCTGTGAACAGGATCAAGGCTCAGACTTTGACCAGATTCAGGGCATAGTTGGGTAGTTGGAGGTCAAGGCTAAGTATGTGACCAGAGTAACTAGAGTTTTCATGACCAAGGGTAAGAATTCAATCTGAAATCAGGGCTTAAGCAATGATTAAGCTCAGGGCTCAGCTTATGACCAAGATGAGAGTTTAATCTTCCACCAGAATCAGGGTTCAGTTTAAAACAAGGGTTACTCTGGACTGAGTAAAGGATCAGTCTATGATTAGGGCTTAATCTTAGGCTAAGGTCGGGGTTCAGTCTATGTGCAGAATCAAGGTCTCAAGTTGAAATTAGCTTTTTATCAGGCTTGGATATCAGGCTCAATATGTGATTAGTCAGGGCTCACTCTAAGGTGATAGAATTCAGTCTAGAGCTGTAGTAGAGAGGCTCTGTCTTTGCATGACACCAGGGCTCAGTCAACATCACATTAGGAAACAAGTTGGATGTGGGATTAGGGCCATAACTAGGGCTGTGTTCTGAGTTGCAATGAAGAAATTTCTGGAGATATGTGAGCCCAAGGTAGGTCAGTCTGTAAGAAACGAGAACCCCCAGGCAAGCTTAGCAGGGTCTGGTCCCTGCAGTCAGCTTTCCCTTGCCTACTGAGGCTGGTGTCCTAGAGCCTTCTAACCTACATGGCTCTGCTGCTTGAGATCCCCTCGCACCAGAATAAAAATAGCCACTCACTTCAGAGCAGCTGACAGCGGGTGCCAGGCTGCCTGGGAGGAGGGGGAACCGAAGAGAGGGAGGAGAGATATCTGAGCTCAGCCACAGCTGTGTGACCTTGGGAAAGTCACCCCTCCACCTCCAGCCCATTTCCTAAATGGCAGAATGGAGGGTGAGGATGATTCCTGCTCCAGCGAGTGGAAAGGAGGGGCCAGTGACATAACAAGTAGCACTTGTTACCAGTAAGAAGC